TTTCACCCAGCATGAGTTTGGCCCTAGGTCTCTACTCTCAGCTGTCCTTGCACCATTCATTCTAGTCAGTAACTTCTCCCTTTCTGTGATGTGGAACACTCACCTGTTTCAATTCCTTCCTCAAAACACACGTGCTAATCTGCCTGCCAAAGAAATGCTCTTGTTTACTCATGACTAAGGGAGAGGGGAAAAAAACCCGGCACCACGTTGTGCTGAATCCAGCCTCCTAACATTTTGGGTTTCTGAAGTGTTGTTTAGAGTGGCATCCTCGGATCATCACAGGGTCTGAACCCATGACCTCCAGTGCCAAAAGCAAGAACCTAGAGGAGCAACTCCTTCAGTTGGTAGCTATGGCAGACTGTGGGACAGCGGGTTACCTTTGCCTCTTGATTGTAAAGCTCATTGGGGCAGGTACCTTTTCTCCTTTATGTTCTATGTAATGCCAAGCACACTGTTGAAAATCAACAAAGAATAAAAATAATGGAATATAACACAAAATGGATGCATGGTTTAAAAAATAAAGACACTGAACTCACCATTACTGTGAAACCTGCCCTAGACACACATACCTTAATGTCATGACTATGTCACCATTTGAATGGCTTGTCCTTGAAATTGATTGAAAGCATTCATTGGTGTGCATTTATCACACCCTCAATCCACCCAGTCCTTTACAGCCATAGAAGGAAGTGCTGCCCTGACGCTAACCTTCAGCTCCTGACAAGGCTCAAGGTGATAGCACAAGCTTGAGGGAAGGAATCTTGGTTCCTTGAAGAGCTTTACTGAACAAGTATGTCTCAAGGAAGGAAAATCATTCTGAGCCTGGTCCAGTGAGAGGAGGAGGCCTACGGCTTAAAAGAAGATGCCATCTAACCAATGACTGCATTAGGCTGACTGAATCCAAATCAAAACTGAAAATAGAAGAGTCCTTTAACTTAGCTGAAAAGGCAGAACTAGAACTAATGGCTGGAAGTTGAACTCAGATTAGAAATTAGGCACACAGTTTTAAGAGTGAGGGTGATTAACGGCTGGAATGGGTGGATTCTCCATCTCTTGCGGTCTTCTAATTATGCTTTAATCTAACACAAGTTTTTGGACTCCATACAGGGGTAACTGGGTGAAATTCTCTGGCCTGTGTTATACAAGAGGTCACACTAGATGATCTAATGGTCCCTTCTGGCCGCAAACTCTGTGAATCCATGAATAAGGAGATTGTGTGTGTGTCACCCTAGGGTACTATGTGAGTATGATAGGATGTTATAGTGACAAAGTCCCTCTGTACGAAATGGTGTAGAAATACTTTGCCCTTTTATAAAGCCTGTCAAACGCCAATCTTAAAGCACTTTACAAGCATTAAATAATTCAGTCTCATGATAACGCAACAAAGTGGTCAAGACCACCTCACCCAGCTTTGGATCTCACCCAAAAGTTAGCACCTCCAGGGGTAGCAGAGCACCCCCTGTTCACCCCAATGCAAATTCTACAGGAACTGGGTAACTTCCTGAATTAACAGCACTACTTCCTGTTGCACTTCACCATTCATGTGTGGCCTCCCATTCAAACACTGACCCCACCTAACCCTGCAACACCTAACCCTAGCTCATGCAAACTGACAGGTTTACAGCACAGCAGCAGAGCTTGCTCCCAGCCCAGGCAGACAGTGTGGCTGGAGGCTGCCTGGGAGAATGCATTAGTGGCTCCACATGTTAGGGGGACTGGAGCAGAGCACACCCCCCGCCAGGTAACGTGGGATGGGGAGGGGACAGGGAGAGCGCAGGCCCCCAGGCTGGGTGCAGGCCAGGGAGGAGTCACGTGAGGGGGTCACATAGGGGGCGGGGACAAATCACGTGGGGGGGGGTCATGTGGAGAGCTCACATGTCCCCCTTTAGCTGGTGCCCCCTTTGTGTCCCTCCCACTAGTCGCTCATGGCTGACAGAACAAGCAGTAATAGTCTCAAATTGCAGTGGGGGAGGTCTAGGTTGGATATTAGGAAAAACTTTTTCACTAGGAGGGTGGTGAAGCACTGGACTGGGTTACCTAGGGAGGTGGTGGAATCTCCATCCTTAGAGGTTTTTAAGGTCAGGCTTGACAAAGCCCTGGCTGGGATGATTTAGTTGGGGATTGGACCTGCTTTGAGCAGGGGATTGGACTAGATGACCTCCTGAGGTCCCTTCCAACCCTATGATTCTATGAAATTGTACCCCTTGGTGGCTTTCATTGTCTTTGACTGAAATCCGTGCATGTCAGTAAAGCGCAGATGATAACAGTTCTGCCCATGGGCCAGGGGATTGTAAATTCAAGCCCTGCTGGAGGATAAAAGCTCCTACCCAATGCTAATGTTGACATGTGGGGGGAGGGATAGCTCAGTGGTTTGAGCATTGGCCTGCTAAACCCAGGGTTGTGAGTTCAATCCTTCAGGGGGCCATTTAGGGATCTGGGGCAAAAATCTGTCTGGGGATTGGCCCTGCTTTGAGCAGGGGGTTGGACTAGATGACCTCCTGAGGTCCCTTCCAATTCTGACATTCTATGATTCTACCATATTTTAAGTATCCAAAAAGAGGACACTCCACAGGGCCTGGGCCCCACCCTGCCCTGACTCCGCCCCTCCCCTGAATGCTTCGCCCCTCCCCTGCTTCCAGGGAACATTTAATTTGTGGGAAGCCTGAAGCAGGCAGGCAGCAGGTGGGCTGGGGCTGGCTGAGGGGGGGCGCGAGGAGGCAAGGCCCAGTCCGGCCCCCCCAGCCAAGCGGCTCCCTCTGGCAGCCAGCCCTGGCAAAGAGGCTCTGGCCCCAGCGTCTCCGGCCCGGCTCGGCTTGGGCCCTGCGGCGCCGGCCCCGGCCCTGGGTGAGCGGTGCTGGCTGGCGGCTGAGCAGCCCCGGTCCCAGCGACTCCGGCCCCAGCGGCTCCAGCCCGGACCCAAGCCCCATGACCCCTCCCTCCCTATTTTCCCGGACATGTCCGACTTTTTGGCAATTCCCCCCGGACGGGGATTTGAGGACCAAAAAGCCGGACATGTCCGGGAAAATCCAGACGTATGGTAACCCTAGACATGCTGTAACTGGGGGAGGAATGAAGCACTGTAATATGTGCTGGGTTCTCCCCTGCCTTTGCTAAGGCAAATATTGCATTTGAAAATTGTCTATTAGTTAAGACTTTGACTTGGGGAGCAGAGCTGAGCCATTTGTGCTGCTGACACTGGAGGCTCTCTGCTGGCACAGGGCACAATGGCTCTGTTCAGACGTGGGGCGAGGAGGAGACTGTGCTCGTGGTGCACTTTAGTGCCCCTTTGAAAAGAAGTAGCCTGTCTGTCCCAGCTGGTACGTACTGAGACCATGGCATGCTCGGCATGGGCCTGGCCAGGATTCTTAGCTGGCAGTCTATACTCCTTTGAAGCTGCGTGGAGCGAGAGCCCAGTCCTTCACATTACCTAGCACTCAGGAGAGTGCTAGGTAGACACCCTGTCCTAATGATCTACAAGGTAGGAGAGGTATAATAAGAACATAAGAACGGCCGTACCGGGTCAGACCAAAGGTCCATCTAGCCCAGTATCCTGTCTACCGACAGTGGCCAATGCCAGGTGCCCCAGAGGGAGTGAATCTAACAGGCAATAATCAAGTGATCTCTCTCCTGCCATCCATCTCCACCCTCTGACAAACAGAGGCTAGGGACACCATTCCTTACCCGTCCTGGCTAATAGCCATTAATGGACTTAACCTCCATGAATTTATCCAGTTCTCTTTTAAACGCTGTTATAGTCCTAGCCTTCACAACCTCCTCAGGTAAGGAGTTCCACAAGTTAACTGTGCGCTGCGTGAAGAAGAACTTCCTTTTATTTGTTTTAAACCTTCTGCCTCTTAATTTCATTTGGTGACCCCTAGTTCTTGTATTATGGGAATAAGTAAATAACTTTTCCTTATCCACTTTCTCCACATCACTCATGATTTTATATACCTCTATCATATCCCCCCTTAGGGTTGGTCCACACTGGGGCGGGGGATCGATATAGGAAACGCAACTTCAGCTACGAGAATAGCGTAGCTGAAGTCGACGTTTCCTATATCGAACTAAAACTACCTACTTCGGGTCCACGCGGCGCAGGCAGGCTCCCCCGTCGACAGCACTTCCTCCTCTCGGCGAGCAGGAGTTCCGCAGTCGACGGGGGAGCGCTTCTGGGATCGATCTATCGCGTCCAGATGAGACGCGATAAATCGATCCCAGAAGATCGATCTCTACCCGCCGAATTAGGCGGGTAGTGTGGACCAGCCCTTAGTCTCCTCTTTTCCAAGCTGAAAAGTCCTAGCCTCTTTAATCTCTCCTCATATGGGACCCTCTCCAAACCCCTAATCATTTTAGTTGCCCTTTTCTGAACCTTTTCAAGTGCCAGTATATCTTTTTTGAGATGAGGAGACCACATCTGTACGCAGTATTCGAGATGTGGGCGTACCATGGATTTATATAAGGGCAATAATATATTCTCAGTCTTATTCTCTATCCCCTTTTTAATCCCCTTATGCATTTATTTAGGACATCCTGTACTATCATACCCACAGAGCAGACCCATGCAGTGCACAGCAAGAATGACATCCCAGAGCTCAAAGGTTCAGTTTCCAAGTACTCAGAACTCATGACTGGGGACAGATCTGCAGAAGTGCTCCGCTGTCATTTAGGCATCCAACTAAGGGCCAGATTTTCATGAGTGCTCGCACCCCGCCGCAGCTTCCGCTTATGGCCAGATTTGCAAAAGGGGTCAGCACCTAACATGTTATGCTCTTCGGAAATAGGGCCACTTGGAGCTGAAAGTAGAGATCTAGGGCCAAACTCCCATCCAAGTGGGAGCTCCGTTTTTTGGAACATCCGACCCTGCCGGTAGGTGCAGAACCCCGTCTGAAAATTCCATCCCAAATGACTCATGTGGTCTCAGTCATTGTCTTAACTAGAAATACAATCGACGCTTTTTTTAAGGGTAGAGAGAGAGCCACACTATACCCTCTCCAACTCACCATGCATGGAAACGGTCCCGTTCCTCACAGCCAGGAATTTGGCCCCATATGGAAAGAAGGTTGCAGAATGAAAGCTTCCGTAGAGATGGATGTGTGCTTTGTCACGGAGAGGTTTATCTGGGGACCCCACCTGGAATTTGCCGCCATCGGATACCAGAATATAATGAGCATGGATTTCTATGGGTCCAGGGCCAGCCAACAAGAGCTTGCCACCTAAAAACAACAGAAGAGCAAAACACAACTGGTCACTCACATACAAACTTGCTAGTTCATATTCAAAGGTGCTGCACATAACAGATACAAGAGATGAAGGAATAAATGGTTTTGTGGGTCAGGCACTGGATTAAGAGTCAGGTGGTCTCAATTCAATTCCCAGCTATCCCACAGACTCCCTGTGTGATGCTGGGCAAGATATACAGGCTGGGGTTTTCAAGCGAGCCAAAAGAAGTTGTGCTCCCAGCTCTCACAGAATTTGAATGGGGGTTGGGGCCCCTTTGACAAAAACACCCTTAACTTTTCAATGCCTTTTGCTCCACAACTGTAAAACAGGGATAAACGATTCCTCTGTATGTATTGTCCCTTTAGATTGTAAACGATTGCATCAAACATAAGCTGTTTGTCTTCACTTTCAAGGCCCTTTGAGTCAATCCCCCCCCCAACCTATCACCTCTCCTTAGCTATTGAACTGTGGACGCTCACCTATGCCCATGATGCCAGCCTCCCTTGCCCACCTGTTACATTTTCTAACAAAAAGAACAGGAGTACTTGTGACACCTTAGAGACTAACAAATTTATTAGAGCATAAGCTTTCATGGGCTACAACCCACTATGCATCCGAAGAAGTGGGTTGTAGCCCACGAAAGCTTATGCTCTAATAAATTTGTTAGTCTCTAAGGTGCCACAAGTACTCCTGTTCTTTTTGCGGATACAGACTAACACGGCTGCTACTCTCAAACCTGTCATTTTCTAACAAGCATCTTGGTGCTTTCTCTCATGCTGCCACTCACACCTTGGAGAAGATCTCAGTAAACATCCACAAAGCTACCTCATTATCCACCTTCAAATCCTTCCTTAAAACTCCCCTTTGCCATGGTGCCTACAAAACACTTGACAATGGTCAGGCTGCTTGTGTGCAGAGACCACAGCCTACTAAGCTGGTCACTATTGTCTTATTGTTTTCTTGGGCTCCCCCACCTGTCTGTATCCAACTGTTGTCTCTTATCTTCTATTTAGGGGCACGGAATGGGGATTTTTGTCCTGTATTTGTGCCGTGCCTAATACAGTGGGGTCCTGGTCCAGGACTGGGACTCTTTAGTACAATGGCAATACGAATAATTATCATAATTAAAAGACGGCCTTTGGAACATAGGAATTTCCAGACTGGATTAGACCAGTGGGCCATAGACTCATAGAAGTGTAGGATTGGAAGGGACTTGACTAGGTTATCTAGTCCAGTCCCCTGCACACAAGGCAGGACTAAGTAACAACTAGACCATCCCTGACGGGTGTTTGTCTAACCTGCTCTTAATTTTCCAATGAGGAAAATCCACAACCTTCCTAGGCAACATTTTCCAGTGTTTAACTAGCCTGACAGGAAGTTTTTCCTAATGTCCCACCTAAACCTCCCTTGCTGCAATTTAAGCCCTTTTCTTCTTGTCCTATCCTCAGTGGTTAGCATGTCCCCACTCAGTCTTCTCTTCTCCAAACTAAACTAACCCCATGTTTTCAATCTTTCCTCAGAGGTCATGATTTCTAGACCTTTTATCATTTTTGTAACTCTCCTATTGACTTTCTCTAATTTGTCCACATTTTAACTGAAATGTGGCACCCAGAACTGGACACAATACTCCAGATGAGGCCTTATCAGCCCAGAGTAGAATGGAAGAATTATTTCTTGTGTCTTGCTTACAACTCCTGCTGATACATCCCAGTATTTCCCTATGTTTGCAATAGCAAATAACTGAGGTGTCTCATACCACTGTATTGTATCTGTAGACATGGGGGTTTTAACAGCTACCACTGTGCCTGGGACCAGCTGGCTTTCCTTCTTCACAAGCTGCTCCAAACAATTTTCATGCTAAGAGTTATAAAGGTCAAGGCTCCATGTTATTGCAGTTTAAAATAGCACATCCTGCCCTTTCAGGGAAGAGAGAGAGAGAGTGTATGTGTGTTTAATATGAAAAACACAACAACAAAAACCACCCTGCCAGCAGACATAGGTATGAACTGAACAGCCTGACTCTTTTTTGGGCGGTGGGAGGGTTAAACGTTGTAGTCTACTTAAAATTAAAGAGAAAAGATAAACCAGTTCAATTCATTACTGGAATATTAGACTGGCCTTTGACTTCTAGAAGCTTCTGTTCAGAGAAGGGAGCTCAGTGATCTACAGCCAATATTTTAACAAGGGCTACCGACTGTTGACCAAACTAAGCCAAAGCCCCATGGTGCTTTGCAGCCAGGCCCAAGCCAAAACGGAAAAATACTACTTGCATATTTAGTTACATACTTTGGTTAATGCTGCAGGGGCAGTTACCAGATAAGGAAAAAAAACTTGTGTCAAGGTTTGTGAAGCTGACTTTTGCAAGCAGACTGGGAAACCAGCTCTCACAAACAGAACTATTAGCCAGGCATATAAATTGCTTTAGTGTTAACGACCAGAAAACAGATGCATTCAGCTCTCACAAGCAAAATGTATTAATCAAAGCCTGGGAGTTGTTGTAGCTATACGTGTGATTAAAAAGGAGATGTTTATGTAACCAGAATAAGACAGTAGATAATAGTGAATAAGTACAGTACATGCTATTTAGAATGCTTTATTTTCATGCTGAGTTGTATAACCCTAAAACTGTTCTATAGTTAGATGCTGTAACCTTTGCATGACTCCATTGTATATTATATAAGAGTATCACAAGTCTTGAGAAATATACTTAACCAACTAGCCTCTAGGTATTCAGGCTATGCCTGGCTACTACAGACCCAGTCTTTCAAATATGTATGGAGCCAGATAAGAAAAGTCTCTAAGGTTTATAGTGTTACTGTTAGCAGGGTGCAGGGGACTGGACTAGATGACCTATCGAGGTCACTTCCAGTTCTATGATTCTATGAATATCTTATATTATATTATATATAATAACATATATATTACATGTTTTTGTATAACTATGAATTTTATTCATGTTAAGTTTTTTCCCAGATGCTTTTTACTTATGTCAAGCTGTTTAGCCAAAGGGAGATGTGAAATGTTGTACTTCAGTGTTAGGTGCAGAGTCATTCCAGAGGGACAGGACAAGACAAACAAGTTTGTTGATGCTTAACTAATATGCCCTCTATACCCAGCTATAGCTGGTGCACGATGTCACTGAAATTTTGCTAATTTCTGGAATGCTATGGTCAAATAAGATAAGAAACTTGTTGCCATCTCTGTCCTGTTTATTGTAGGGTCTGTGTAAGCGTATCACAAAATGTTCAAAAGCAGGTCAAAGAAGACAGATAAAACTAGCCTGAAAGCAATGCAAAGAAATAGTGAGACCCTCATCTATTGTATATAGAGAAGTAGAGTGAAGCTCAGATTTTGAGACAGTTGACCTGCTGCGTTGCTGTCTCCCAGATGGGTTGGCAATGTATTAGCCTTCCTATCTGTGTTATGCTGTATTAATCTTTGACTAATCATTGTTGATTAGTAAAGTTGGTTAAGCCTAGCTACTTGACACCTCGCTATTGAATTCAATTGAACCCACAACACTACCCACAACATTTTTTCCCTCTCAGACGGTGATAAATCCTGTGTACTGAGGGCAGGCGTGCTTCTGCAGTGGGCTGGACAGACTGGTGAGGCTAGCCCTTTGTTCTCTCATCTATAGACTTGAAGTCAATGGGACTACTCACATGAGTACCAGCTCACTAGTGTGAGAAAGGGGGTTTGCAATCTGGCCTTTTCACCAAAACAGCTTTCCCATAATCTGATGGGAGCAAGTACAATTCCAATGTTTGGAAGTTAAAGGTAGACAAAGGAAACATTGGGCTAGGTGCCGTACGAATATACAAGAAGACATAGTCATTGCCTCAAAAACCTAAGAAGACAAAGACAGACAATGAATGGGTGACCTGAAGCAGCTAAAAGTTGACGTGTTCCAAAGGGCGTTGATAGGCATGTCACGACTTTTGAATGTGTATATTCTATGAACAATCCCCAGCGAACTTTCTAACAAATCACAGTTGGTTTCTTTTAAAAATGTGTGTGTTTGTGTGTGTGTGTGCACACGCGCTGTTATAGGGTCGGCCGCATCCCAAGCATCTCCCTCGTGACTTGGAGATGCTCTGTGGCTCCCTGCCTCAGTTTCCCCTCTTCAGAACACCTTAATAAACTCAGCACAATCCTTTTGTCTAATAACACTCCCTTCTCTCACAGTCTATTTCGTTTATATAAAATTCAAAACAAAATACAGTCCTGGGGCTTCTCTTCCCCCTCTTCTCCCCTGCAGTCTGCTCTCGCAGCTCTTGCCTACAGTGCAGAACTAACCCTAACACCTGATATTTTCAAAACTGCAGAGCCCCCACACCTATCACTGAAGTCAACAGAAGCTGAGTACTTCTGAAAATCAGTCCAAGAGCAGAGACAACGAATCCCTGGGAGTTAAGAAACAACAGCTTAATGACAGTTAAACGCAAAGACTGGCAAATATTCAGGCTCAGTCATTTGAGCCATCTAATTATAACCTATATCCAAACTTACAAGCACTTATCTCCCAAACTTTATATATATATATATATATGTTCATCCTAGCCAGCAGCTCTCTGAATCTACACTCTTTGCACTTTATTAGCTCAAAATAAATATACAGCTGCTGCTTTACAAGATCGGATTAAAAAAGAAAGTTCCTTTCCTTCTTTTAACACTTGCCCCTTTTCTGCAAGCAGAAAGAGAGAACGTTGCTCTTCTGAGCCATTGGCTCTGCCCTTACGTTGTTTATTATGGCTACACAAGGGACCTTGGGGTAATTTTATAAAAATCAATCAACTATTGTTATGGTAGCCTCCCCACCAATTCAAATAAATACAATTAAACCCATAATCTCTTCTGTGCCATGATATGGAGACCAAACACGTCTCTTTCAAATGTGGGGGGAGGGGGAAGAAACATTCTGAGGCTATTTGATGTTTGGTGAGAACATCAAAACCATTACTCATCTCGATTAACCCAGCAATTGGCCCTC